TCGATTTTTTTTTCTCGAAACAATGGTTTTATAAATACTAATATTACAGAACTTACAACGCATATGCAAATTTCTATTCTACGGATCGAAACCATCGTTTTTTATATCTCCCGGATAATTGATTCATGTAAAAAATAGAAAATAGATATCCGTACAGTCTAATTATCACTTATGCACATTTCCGTCGTATGCGCACACTATTGTCAGCCATTGGTGTATCGTTCAAATTGATTTGATTACTACTAAAAACTTTCAGCACAACGGTATGTATTCAGGTACCCACGTACGACCGAGGAGCACTGATATTTTTTTCGATAATTTCATCACGTCGACCTCCGAGTCTTCTATCAGCGACGTCTCCCAAACGTATAATATCCGCAGTCGTTTCGCGCAAACCGTCACGAACTCCAATAGTCCTGAGCAACTGTGACAAACGAGAACAAAAATGATCAAAACCTTATAAAACAGTGGCTGCTTCAAATAACGTGAAACAACGAGTATGAATATTAAACATGGTACATTCTTTCATCAAAAAGATCTTTTACACAAATAGAAAACTTAACTCTTTGCGCTCCTACGTCCAGTATCTCAACGGTAAATTTATTCGAAAGTATGAAACTTTTTAATTATGTTATGTTGTTATACTATTTTTAATAGTATTGGTAAAAAGAATTGTTTACACTGTTTACTAATTGTCTTTCGAAATACATTTCAACTAAAACACTGAAAGCAATACAGAATTACGAAAAAGTAAATGTGAAAGGAACTCGGAGTGCAAAGGGTTAAACGAATTTATTATAATTATAAATTATTATCAATTTCTTATTTGCTCCGTTTCTTTCGTCAACCGAAAATCAGAGAAACGTGCTTATAGATTTGTTAATGTCAAACTTTGAGAACAGTGATTTTATGAAGATTCTAACGTTAAACATTGAAAATACTATCTTCCATTATATTATACATACGTGATCTCACAATCGCCCAAACCGACGGCGTTTAGGCGTGGACATCCTTCGGCAATAGACAATAGTGCCCGGTCAAGCGTGTCTGGTCCATAAGCAGCGATAACTATCTCGACTAATCGAGAACACACGCCAGCAATGCGTAACAATGTTGCTTCGGACGGTGCCTCCCCAAAGTACAAGTGTGTTATAGGAACATAGGGAGCAAGAAGCTGACTTTGATCGTCTTCGTTCGTCATGTACGTCGATCTGAATCATTTTAGAGAAATGTTCATTTTAGATAAATGAACAACAAAATTCTTACCGTATCCAATGAAACAATTTTTAACAGTGTCCGACATTTCAGAAAGAAATCTCTGGAGGATAATAAGATATTGAAAAAAAGTGCACTCACAGCACAAGGTTTATGTTCGGCAGGTGGCTCGAAAACGTACACCAAGCTGTGTCGCTGACACGCGGAAGCGGCTTTATCTCTTGATGCACTTCCAGTCGTAAGGTTTCCAATTGCATTTGCTTCTCGGAGCCCAGTGCTAATAACAATTCGTCGCTGAGCAACGAATAGGACAGACACAATTCTCGCAGGTATCGGCAATAATTAACCAACGCCTGAATCCCTGTAATGATCGATGAAATAAAACGGTGAAAAAAGAACACAATGGAAACGATTCGATGCAGTGCAATTAATATTGAAACGTACGATCATGTTAAGAGTAAGAATCTGAAAACATTTGATCGATAACGGTATAGGTGATCTGTTCCTTTTTGTTCGAAAAAAGAAAGAAAAAAATCTCGTGACACGATACCTTCGGGTAACAATCGCGGGAATCCTTTTATACGAAGGAGTTGCAGCGTCTTCGAAGCGTCTTCGTCCTTCTCGGATCGATCCTTCCTTTGCTCGATCCCATCCTCGTTTGATATTTTCATTATGGTCTTGAACTTATCATTGTCGATCTCCAGAAAAGCGGGCTTCGCAGTGCTCATTAGTGCCAGCATCTAACATTTAACGTGACTTCAATGACGATGCTCGAGTAGCAAGTAGAAATTTATGTACCTTAATTTTATAAAGTAGCGTCTTTAAACTTTTCGAAATCTTTCGATCCTCTTAATAATTGTAAGAATAAGTTACAGGCTCTGAAATCATTGTTTACAATTATACATAGTTCGGTGGGGTCCGCAGCAACGTTTTCTTCCTATAATTATCCAATTCACAGCAATTACGTACAGAGTATTGTGATTCTTTTCTAGTCTATCGTTTCATTGGAATCGCAGGGAATTCCTTCGACTGCTTTTTATTTATCCTCTGAAGGTTTCGGGGTAATGATACAATGATATTGCAATCTACGCTTCGGAAGAAGCAACGAAAGAAGCTTTCGAGTGAGACTTATCCCACAGCTTATGAATTGACAAAAATATTTATTGAATTTCGGAAAATCATACATGTATGCTACAAACTTGAATAATGTCCTGTGTTAAGCTAGACCCAACATGGAAGATATTCAATGTCGAATCAAAATGTTTAGTAACGTAGCAAAGTTGATAATAGTGTAATGCAAAGATGCTACTTCTCTTTGCTGAAAAGGATAACTCTCCAAAAAAATGGTCAAGATTTACGTGGCGCTTAACACGTGCCAGACAACCAATGAACCACAATGTTCAATAGCGTAAATAAATAGATAATAATGTAACCTAATGATCGCAATGCCAAAAATGAAGTAATCGTTCCTTTTCATCTTTGCTATAAAAGAAAAAACGATACATAAAGCTCTGAAGATTTTTCGTGGCAGTCAACGTGTTAAGAAAGGTCGACACCATTGTCAAATAGAATCTATGTTCGTGATAGCACGTTGAATGTCAAGGGTCACTCAGTTAAACTATGATTATTTGAAAAGATTTCTGTATCATGAACAATGCTACCTAATGCAGTGACATTCAGCTGGATGAACGTGCAATAATAATAATGCTATTCAGTCGAATTGAGGGAAGAAATACACCAGGGAATATCCGTTCACAGGTGGCTAGAAAAAGAATCTTTAGAAATCGAATCGATTGGGACTGAAGAGAGTAATATTGAGATGACAAGAACATAATTACGGTTTCCTATTGTGGAAATAGAAAAGTAAAGTACGTCGAAAATGTTTTTTTTTGCACTTTATGTTAAAATTCACCGTAAACAGTTGTAAAGAGAATTACACGGAATTTGTTTGTATAGTAATCTAAAAGTGTCAACTATCAGATCTGAAAAGAAAAGAATTATAACATTGACAGAATAACAAAACGAACGTAACGCTATCTACTTGTGCGAAATTATTTGCTTGCCGATCTAGTAATTTATTTTCTTAACGGTGAATCCAACAAGTTTTCGTATTTCTTAAAAGCGTTAAAATATTGGGGACAGCTTGAAAAAGTTTTTCGTGGCAGTCAACCTGTTAAAGTGTTAAAGAACATTGATGCAAGTTCCAGAGTGAAAACCATAGAACATTTTCGACCGTAAAGGGTTAATGACCGATGGACAATGTTTTATTCCAACAGTAAGTCTCGTTCATTCTACATACGCAGAATTTAATCGTGAAACATGCTTCTAGTACGTGTACAGAGCTCCTTTAAGGTTGACTGCTTACGTGTATGCTTGAGGATTAAATTACACGTTCGCACGGTCTTTCAGGGACAAAAGAAACAGTTGTTTAAAAATGAAAAAAACAGACATTCCAACAAAAATTTCTCGTATCTTCTTCGAACTCCGTCGCCATGTCATTTGAATAATAACATGCTATTGCGCATCATTGCGTGGTTAATCCGTTTAATAGCGTAAGCCCGCGAAGAGCTTGTTTAACGAGGAATCCCACTGATAAATAATGAATCTCACCTTGGGTCATAACGAAATCCACATAACATTAGAATTACTGATGTTACCAATTTCTTTTTTAAGACTGCTCCAAAGCATAACAAATACGAGTCGTTTATAATGAATATCCACGATTTCCCGAAGCTGTTTACTTCTAAGATAAAAACGAAGAAAACATTAATTTCAAAATCAAACGTTTTCTAATAATAAAGGAAACATTAATTCTAAAATAAAATCTTTAAAGATTTTCGATTCAGTTGGCAACTTCTGCGATATAAACACTTAATTAAGTATACGACTTTCATGGTACTATAGAAATCATTGTAACATAGGGTTATCCACTTAACTCAAAATATGTGCTTCGAATAAATTTCTCGGATACTCATTTAATTCTCGTTATTATCCGACTTATGGCGTCCCTAACTCCTCCTATGGTATCAAGGCAAACTCGCGACAAAAATGTTCAATCGAACTCAACAAACCTAAATATTATTTCTTTACTTTCTCATATAAATGAAATATTAGTTCAGAGTAAACGCAGGCATGAGACAAGTATCGAATTCTCTTTTCCTAGCGAATCAACGATAAAGTCGTTTCACCGAGCACAGTGAAAGACATTGCGATACAAAGAGTTTCAAGCTCGTTCACGAAATCTCCACGATTCGGATAATAAGGTAAACCAGATCGGAAGTGGGAATTTTCATTCGAAGCTCGTCGAGACTCGTGGAACTCGGCAAATGCGAGATATGTAGATGACACTGCACGAACGCGGTGGTATCTGTACGCGTTCGGTCGTTGCTGGCCGTAAGTGGACGTCTCTGTATAAAATATAAGTTACGTTAACACGTTTCGCGCCACGTGTTGCGTCTCTGGTGCACGCGGAACTTGATATCGTTGCCAACTGATATTGTCTTCGTTCGAGAGACAATGCGCGATAGAACGACTCGCTTTTCCGTCCGTTCGAAAGAAGCTTACGGTCCCTGATGCGAGATCGTGGGCCCGACATTTCTGTGAAAATAAATTCTGTTTTTAAAAAGCTTCGCACGCATGCACAGATCGAAAGTGCATATAAAAGTCTAACGTTCTCTCATTCGATAGTGGGTCTAACATCTTTCGTTTCATTAGAATTGAAAATTAACCGTAGATCTTATCGTGTTTCGAATGAAAGGAAAAATGGATATTTTCTATTGGATTTTTATCGGTGATTCATAGAAATCGAGCGATAAATAGTTGAGCATTCGACGATGATTCATGTTTGGGGTTGTTCAACGCGCTAGGTTTTACTGCCTTGTATGGATAATTTGTAGATCATTTCAGTGTCCGAAGAAATGATGAAATAATACTATTAATTATATTATTGTAATATTACCGGAGCACTCGCATGATCAATTGAAACAGATTCTTTAAGAAACCAACGATGCGAGACACAGAGCGCATTTGTACCGGACGGAATGCGAGGAATGTTATTAACACGTTCGTTGCCAGCGTCACATATTTGTGATGGGCGTAATCCTATATTTTACATAACGAAAATGAAATTAATTTTATATTGTTATTAGAAATTGTAAGCTACGATATTATATTCAGGAACTCAATGACTCGTTTCAGTTTGATTTTTCTAATATTCGCCAGTCTGGCGACATCAAGCTTTTACATTCCGAATACGAAATCGTGAATAAACAATTGATTCGTTCAAATACCAAGAGATCAGTGACTGCTGTTCTCTGTCTCTGGCATTCAGAGGTTTGTTGTACGATTCAACTTCCTCGGCGAAAGGTTTTCGATACTTCAAAAAATCCTCGTCCGCAAAGGGTTAAAACACAGCTTCCCGAGGGTTTAGTTCATTCGTCGCACAATAGACCGGCGAACCAGCTCCTCTAAAACGTGCACAACCGTCCTGATCTGTTCAACTAAATATCCACCTGTATCCAACACCATCGAGCCATGCCATCTTGTCGGGGGCAGTCATGCAAGGGGTGCTCTACCGATACGGACGAAACACGAAGGCTAAGACCGGCCACCGCGAGAAGGTAGCGGAGACACTACAGAGAAGAAGATCCTGTGGGAATCACGAGACGCACATCGAGCCGAGACAACACGAACCTTCGACAAATTGCGGCCAGGGTATCCTTAACGAGACCTAGCAGGCAGCCTCGACGGGCTCCGCGCGACTGTCTCCCCGACAGCTACTTGGGCACGAAGGGAACGGGTGAAAATGGCATCTGGGAGAGAGAGAGAGTGCCAGCAGCGTGTCGCGATCTCGGCGCCGAGATCGTTGGCTCCGGCCTTCGCGAAGGAGGTGCCGGGAAAAAGCGAAAGGATCGCTGGAAAGGCATCTAATCGTTGTGCAACGCGACAACATTGATCGGATTGGGAGTACGGTAGGCCGACAGCACGCCTGACGTCGACTAGGACATGCACGTGCTGGCTGTGCACAGGGCGGTCCACGAATCAGCGCGCACGCCATTTTTTCGGTCGTTCCTGACATTTGCCGCGTTCATTGGGAGACGTTGACCGTTCGAGTGCTAAACAAATTTTGTGGGTGTACACCGAAAATACGGAAGTGATTGGGTATGAAAAAAGTTAATAAGATTTAACCCTTTGTATGTAAATTAAGGAGGAAAGTTATTTTATTTCAATGTTCCATATATTGATGCATCGTACGAAGCTTAATATTATATGTAAGACTTTATAATTTTGCAAATCAAACCAAGTGGTGACTGAGAGTCAGTGGTTTGATACAGCGAAATTATGAAGTTTGATGTTTAATACTAAACTTTGTATAATGAGTCATTATGTGAAATATCAAAGTAAAATACACTTATCCCTTAATTTATCGATTAAACTATTTACATTAGTCGCAACAAGCATCGTCTAGATTTTATCAAAGAGTGTTGAATATTTCTAGGAAAAAACTTTCGAGTGCAAAGGGTTGATGGTTATCTAATTAGATTACAAATATTGTGTTCTGTATCGGTTCTGTAATTGTTATAAAAAATAATATACTGATATACCTGACAACAGTTATGACTTTATTGGGATACTCGTAACTGTTTTAATTGGAACCAGTGTATAACAGTTTTTGGAACCTTCTCAATCCCTGGCTGGAACACAAGATACAAGTGGGTCATGAATTTTTCAAACATAAAACGGGTGTGATAGAAATAAATAGTATCTTCATCTTATCTTCAGCCTATAGAATTTTCTAAATGGCAAAGGACATTATCCTCTCACTCTAATTTCTCATTGGAGCAAGTTCATCGTCGAATGAACAAATAACTTAAATATTGCAGTCGTTGATTGAACACAAGACACAAGTGGATCGTGAATTTTTCAAACATAAAACGAGTGTAATAGAAATAAATAAGTTCATCGTCGAATAAACAAATAACTTAAATGTTGCAGTGGTCGATTGAACACAAGACACAAGTGGATCATGAATTTTTCAAACATAAAGATACTATTTATTTCTATTACACCCGTTTTATGGATAGGATTTTTCTATAGAATTTTCTAAATGGCAAAGCACATTTTCCTCTCACTCTAATTTCTCGTTGGAGTAAATTTATCGTCGAATAAACAAATAACTTAAATATCGCGGTCGTTGATTCATAGATCACCCTATGCATTAATGCACTGTGCACGTATCCTTAAAGAGGAGTGCGTATATAACTCCCTGAGAGCCGCGCGAGACCGGTAAAAGGATTGCCGGGTTGCAGAAAGCGGTCATGGACTGAGCAAACGTTCCTGAAGCTCACTAGGCTATTCACGTGCTTACGGTTTCACCGGTCACGTGGACTCCGTCTACAACAGTACGAAATTCCAATGTTTTACAACACTTCTTGCACGTTGGTGATATCGAGTTAACATCAGCGGATATTTGCGTAAATCCGCACGTTTACGCGTCAGATTTCAGGACTCCGGAACCAAAGAAGAAAGGTTATTTCAGAATTTTATTGCGATCTCAGCAGTCGAGAATCGTACGTATCAAGAGAATCATAGAAATAAATATAAAATAAAAAATGTACTGATTTTTCTTAAAGCCTTTATTGATCTGTCAGAGAATGTATTTAACACTAAAACTACTAGATGAGTCAAAATAACATATCGCCGATTTCTTCTTTCTGCAATTATTAAAAACAACAAACGTTTCTCTGAAAAATGATTAAACAAATCGATTCAACACCGCGCGAACTGAAATCTAAATCAAATGAACCCTTAACAAATGCACTCTTGGAGTTCTTATAGAGGAATTTCGAGAACTCAATTTAACTCGGTAGTTTTAACGTTAAACACGGTCGACGATACAAATTGAGCGAATTTCCAAATATTTCCGTCGAAGTGTCCATTTCGATAGTTTCGCCGTATTCGAATACAGAGATAAATAAAATATATAGAACGAAATAAGATTGATTACAAGTGAATTTTGTAATTCACTTCTGTCCATTCGCGTTTCTCTCGACTTGTCGAAAAAGAGCTACATTCCATCGTGACTTTACGAGCCACCCTTTAGAGCGATCTCGTTAAACCGGAAGAGGCTAATGACTCGACGTACGCCATTATAAAATCAAAGACACTGTCGAAACGAGACAACGCAGCCAGCCGCACCTGGCGAAATATTGTAAAACGCTGGACCGTTTACTGCGCGGACGCGACGCGCAATTATTTAATATTTTGCTGGATTAATAAAATGTCCGTAATCTCCGAAAGGAGGTCACGGACTTGCGGAGCCCGTTGCCGGTTCCCAGTAGACCATTCACGTGTTTCCCGTTGCGACTCACGTGTATCGCGAAGAGAAAGGAAACTGCTATGAATTTACCACCTAATTAAACACCACCTGTCGTATTCTCGGCAGGTTCGATTTCTAAAAAAAAACCTGAAACACTTCTGTCGCTCTGTTAACGCAGTCTTTCGGTTTTATGTCGCAAAAACGAGGCGGCTCGCGTTCATCGTCGAATCATTCGTGAACGTACGTTGGGTGGGAGAAGTATCTTTTTTTAAATACTCTATTTTACATTTCGTGTTTGCAATATAAATGTATGCACTACAAATCGACATGGTAACTGTGCGTTTAATAGCGACACGTTACAAGAACAGCGACAAAAAGTGTATTTGTAAGTGGTAAATGTGTGTAGGACGATATTGCACCATCTTGAGAGAATGTTAGTGCGAAACCATGAGAAATAATAAATATATTTACGCTATGTTGGTGTGCATGGCGGTTTGAGCGAGTCGTTTTTTAATAGAAACGAATGGTCGTGATAAGCAAAAATCAATTTGCATAAACCAACAGGGTACAAGCAATTTTCTGCAAATAACGATGAAACGTCAGAAGATAAATAATTGGAACTAGTAAGTAGATTTTTTGTTGCTTTCCTTGTAACAAGTGCAGATTAATTTCCTTTGTATCAATGAATTATATATTGTTTTCGGCAATGAAAGCGTATATCTGAGATGTGTATATGAAGAAGAATAATAGAAATAGTTTTTTCGAGAATTCCCTGAACTATGAAACATAATGACTTTTCAAATCAAATATATTCTGTAACAAGTTGTTCTGTGTGTCAACTCTGATATATTATATTGCATATCGTAAGCGTCGATTAAGGCCAACATTCGGTATCTAAATGGCAACGGAAATTATGCAATCTATTTGTAAATAGTGATTTTCCTTTTTTCTCGAATGGAAAAATCGTATTCTAATATGTAAGTTTCGTAAAAACACACGTATGAACATTATCGTTCGAACTGTTTAAATAAAAATAGCCACGAGCGCTTATCTGGTATCAGTATTTTATGAACCGTCCATTCTGCGTTCACGTGACGAATTAAATACATTAGGATCGTAATTTCGAACCGATGAACTTTTTGCATACCGTGGACTACGCATATTTTTGAATTTTCATAAAATCGTTCGCGGAAGTCATAGTTAACACTAGAACTACCAAGTTTCTATTTTTTCTTTTGCGATTACTGAAGATCTACGAATATCTCTTTGAGAAATTACTAGAAGCTGATTAAATCTTAATAAACGTTCGTAGCATTTATAATGAAATTTTCAAAAGTCGGTTTATGTGCTCGGTAGTTCTAGTGTTGAACAAAAATTAACCGTTGATAAGTCAATTAAGATTATTTAATTTTGTAAGAATTTATTTCAACGAATCTAATGAAACAAGTAACTTACTACAGGACACTTCCCATAGAATAAAGAACTTGAGTAGAATAATTTGTTTAAAAAACCAGTATCTCCGATTTCACCTTCTAATTTTAACCCTTTGCACTCGAGGTGACTCTCAGTGGCCACCTGATCCGACGAAGCGAAATTATAAAATTTTATATTTAATATTGAACCGTGTATAATGTATCGACGCGTGAAATATTGGGATAAAAACGCTTCGTTTCCCAATTTACTTGCGATCTCTCTTTGAGTTAATTTCAAAAAGTATCTTTGTAGTTCGAAAATGTTAATTTCCAACGAAACACTTCCGAGTCCAAAGGGCTAAATATTCAAGAACCTCCGTTTCATGCATGAATGCACGAGGAAAGTTATAAATGAAAACACTGGCCATTAACGATTGAAACAACGACGTCCGAGTGACGTAAATCCAAACGAAACATGAGGGGGATAATTACCTATTACCCTGGCTGAGACTGAATCTTCCGTTTCTCCAAAACGGTGATCTGCGTGTGATCGTGTGCCGCGTGACACGGGCGAACAGGATGCTCGAAAGTAGTTGGCGGAGGAGAATCGTGTTTACTGGAAGCGAAACCCATTTACTTTCGCGATGGTTGGTCACTAGCATCAGATTCGGATGCCCGTCAAACTGTACCTGAAACAAACACGTCGGCCATTAGTACGCTGCGACACAACAGCGCCGACTGCAGTCTACTCAAAATAATCAGCAATGATCGGAATCATTATCTTCCTTCTCAAAGATACAGTTGCACTATCGTGATACCATCAACGTATTTTAACAATTCGTATTATAACTTTCCTTATGGGGTTGCAACGAGCGGTAAATCCTGCGTGGGACCGGGTAAACGTTAACATTGTCAGCGTCGAATCACCTGACGAACAAAAATCATTCGTTTTACTGGTATATCGCAATCACCGCGCGTAGCAGAATTTTACTGTAACTTTTTAGGCACGCAACCCTCTCTCGAACGGCGCCCGAAAAAATGGCCGCGTTCCAATACGTTTCACCGGCGGTCTCCGCGAACCGGTCTCGACCTAGTACCGGGCTTATCGTTTTCCTTCTGTAGCTCGCGAAGCCGTTGCACGCTAGTAACAGCTGATACACGTGTTCCCGCAATCACGTGCACGACGGCTATTGCTACCTGTATGTGTTTTCTAGTTATTCACGTACGACTATCCTATATATCTGTGACGCGACATGCGTCATCGCCGCTGCAAGACGTTCTCTCCGCTTCCCATTCCGCGAAAAATTTCGAAACCGGACTGAACTTCTTACGTACCGATTCGATTAACGTAATCGAACGACGAAACTAATTAAGTCTCCGACACATCGAAATGATATTGCCATTCGTGACGCCATGGTCTCCCGATACCCTTCGGAGTTCGAACGATGCGCGAAGCGAATGTTCTAGCGCTTTTGTTCTCGCGGAATAAGTGAATTTCGAAAATGTTTTAATTTCCCTTTGTCGGAGATAGTCAAGAACGTACAAAATATTTATAACAAACGATTATAGCGTTAGGGAAGATAATTCGTAAACAGTGTCTTTCTAAGTCCATTTACCTTACCCAAGCCAATTAATATGATTTCGTTAAGATCATGATTCGCTGAGGCTTCCTCCTTCGCGTCACTCGTCTTACGAAGTTCGCCTTGCTTTCGACAGACGTGATCAAAATACCGTCGTATCCTCGGCGGATTTATTTAAAAAATAAAAAGAAAATCGATTATAAGAATTGAATTGGAGCTGACGGTGGAGTGGGTTAAATGATACTCATGGAAAAAGAAGACCATCCGTGCCTCCACTAATGTATTTGCGACGGGCGACGTCACGGTGATGTCGTTCACTGAGCTTATTAGGAAAGTGACAATACTGGTGCCATTGAAGATTAGTTTGAAGAGGCCGCGACGTCGGAAGGTGGGAAATTACGGAGAAAAGGTTTTCACCTGAACGTTACGCGCTGTTCGTGACGCACAATGAACAAGTATTGAAGTGTTATCACCGAGCGATTAAGAGCGACTGAAACGCGCTGCACATACTGTCACAAGTGTAGCGTTCAGGAGCGGTTCAATTTGAAACAGCCCCGTAATCGATATTTATATAAGACTTCTCCAATAAAATAATGTACACGCGTCCCTGCGCTAAACATTCCTTATGCTCTCGCACGAATAATACGTCGTATCTACTCGAACATTTATTTCAACATTTTAGGGATTTCCACGAGTAATTTCATACGAACGCGACAAGTATGCTTTTTTACATTTTAACCGCTGCACCGTGATAATTATAATTAGACTAAAAGCATTTGTGAAATGGCATTGAATAAAATACATAAATTTTTCGTTTGTTTCTCGGTTAATAGAAGTACAGATAAGGAATATGATAGCCTAATCGGAGGTCTTAATGAATCTACATTGAAAGATTATTTTAGTGTATTCTACTAGAAATTTCTGTACTTATGTAATTGAATTTTCTGTGAAAATAGAATATTCAAGGTCCGTTGCCATTTTATGTTATGTTCTACGTTACCGATGCGGATACGTGATTACCGACTGATTTATGTATCTCGAGTCGTTATTACCGACTCAATAAAACCTTTCTTATTGACAGTCGGGAAATTAGCTGCATTACATAAATTATCGACGCAGATTTATATTAATCTTAATTAATTGAATCACTTGCATCTGTAATTATACACTTCGATTCAATCTCGTGTATCGGAAGATAGAAAAGCTATCGATCAATTCGATATTCCGTAACCGGAAGTTCAAACACACTTTTATCACGGCTTTCATTAAAACTTAATTATCTTATTCATTAATAGAATTAAGTATTTCATATCCAAATAAAGACGACGGTTAATTATTTTAATGAATTTAATGCGGTGACTACCACGTTGGTCACCGATGACCGAAGCTTCCAAATTACTTGACCATAATTATAATTTGTCAGATAATTAATGTCGAATGGAAATATTTCATAGCGCAAATTACTAGATTACAGTGTAACGTAAGCATTGCGATACCAAATAATAAGTAAGTGTTCTTTGTGTTTGCTACAAAAGAATAAGCGATACACAAAGCTCTGAAGGTTCTCGTGGCAGTCAACGTGTTAATAAACGCGTAATATTTACAGCGAATATCACTGACAATGCTCGACAATTACCGCAATTGATTGGAACTATTGGAACTTTCGTAAAGAAGAATACGTGAAACCCGAGAAGATCAAGGGCTAATTGATATAATTCGCTACCGAAGCAGCGAACGTGTGACTGTGGTTGCGGCTGTGTCACAGACACGCTCACTTATGCAGACTTCAATGTGCAAGCAACAAAACATTTGCAATTATCCTGGAAACTAAAAGAAACCGACATTTGTATCAAAGGAGAAAGTTGTTCCTAAACGTCGATTTCTCCGACATTCGTTAGTTTCACGAAAATCAACGTTACCGCCATGATTCTGCACTGTTACCATCATTACCGAGTAACGTCAACATACATTCCAATCGACTAATTTAAAATCAAACGTGAACGAAGACCGATTCCGATAACAGAAATGTTGCCGTGAAAGTGAACCGTTCGCCAGATACATTGTTACCGAAACGAATATTAATAAACATATCGGGACAGATGCAAACGTAACCGACGATACAAAGCTATTGATTTATTTGCAGCACGCGCAACCTTATTAAACGCAACGATTAATTGCATTAATAAAGAAACCGGAAACTGTTGTGCGCGGAAAAGCAATGCTATTTTACGAGCCACGAGAATTCGCGTTTAGTTCAGTTTGAGCGGCCGTAGGTGTAACATGTCAGTTTTTATCAGCTCCGACTTTAGACGAACGCGAACAGTTTGAAACGTAGCAAACTCGGATATTTTTATACCCGTGAACCTACCGCCAGTCTTCCTCGGGAATTCGTCTTTAAGCCTTCGAAAAAGTTGGTGTTGCGGTTCGTCACGGGCGTTCGTTGAAAGAAGTGCGCAAGCGAAGAACGCAGATCACACTCTTCCCAAGGAAATCGCGTTAACTTTTTTATTTCGCGTAATCGAATTCCGAGAGATCGCTTGAAATAAAAAAGAAAAAGAAACGGAGAGAATATTTCGATGCACGCGTGAAAATCGTACCATGTGATCCGAGCGAACCGAGAGTGCATTTTTAAAGAGTCATTTAATTATTTCCTGTGCAGCCGTCGTCGATTAAGTGTCGCGAGTTTCGTCGATCGAAAGAGTAGCCGTTCAAATATCGACACGGGATACACGGTTCCTGTAAATTGATTGATACGCGGACGATCGTCGAGATCCCCGATCATCGAGTGATAAGTTCGTAACAATAGTGGAACGCGATTTTTCAGGGGAAAAGAAATTTTCTCGTTGAATCGGTGAGAAGGAGAAGATACTAGACAGAGTTATTTATGTGATCTATTTTCACGCAAGTTGTGTTACCTTAGTAGCCTAAAAATATCTGTGAAATTTGATTAGGCACAGCTTGATGGTTCGGTATTACCTACTCGAATATTTATACCTATTTCAAGTGGAAAGCTTGCCCGCAGCTTTTTGTTTCTTTGTTATTTCTTCTCGACGGCCGAATATATTGCACGCTGATCGAATTGCATCGACGGTGCACGTAACACGTTTTCTGGCATTATTTTAAGGAACTATCGAACGTTATGTCCTTTTCGCAGACCGTTTAATGCCTTCGGTTCGATTGTTTGCAATTATTAGCCAATTTCTGAGTCAGAGGGGATATTCTCTAGGATCGACTAAATTTCATTTGCGTTCAAGATCAATTTTAGAATTTTCTTTGTTCCTTGTGCGTTCACATTTGTCATGCATGTTTATTAATAGTAATTAATCATTGGATGGAGATTCAAGCTGAAAAGTATAATTACTACGTGTATGGGTAGGGAGTTGTAAACATTTTCAAGAGAATTTCTTATTTTATGAAATACAACGTTGCTATAATTTTCGTGATATAACAGATTGAGTTTTGAGACTTTTACTCGAAGTCAGTTGAACTACATGTATGAAAATGTAACACAAGTAACATCCATATTTCATATGAAAATGTACGAAATAGAATGGAGTATACGAAACCATCAAGGGCTTAATAATGTTCGCCGTTTATCTTTGACACAATAAAACTCTTGCGGAAGGAAATAAATTTCTGCCAACGAGTATCTCTGTTATTTACTTCAGAATATATCTAATAATTTCTTCTAAAGATTCAGACACTGCATTGCAATTTTATATATTTATTTATATTGATCTGTAGAGAAAAAACTATTCGAGAAAATTAAAATCGAATAGTGGAAAACCGAGGAATATAAAGTTTCATTTAATGTAGAATTTTATTTGTTCTCATATTAACTAGAGACTTAGGAAGAAATGATTAATATAGTAGCATTCCGTAGCATTTTATGAGAAACATTAAGATTAACGCCTCTGAAGTTTTGCTAAGGGTTAATTTAGAATTCGCGTGTGAAATCTCGTGATGGACGATAAGCCGGCCAGTTCGTTGACGAAGAAGTTTAAAGAAAACACGGGGAAAATACTTTCGTCGCCGGCAGAGGATAATGGCGAGAAACTTTCACTCGGACAAGCTTGCACGCCGGTCGAAATTAAAGAGGAGGACTCTACTGATGAAATTCAGGTAAAATGTATATATTTATAGCTTATTCTAATAATAAGTTCCCAGTAAGTACTTTCCCCTTAATATTTACATTCAATTAAGTCAAATTAGCTTAAATATTTCTAATAATAGGTTCGTAAAAAGTATTTATAGCTTTCTCGTTAAAACGTGAAACTTATTATCGTCGTGTGCAGGGTAGACGGCAAAATTTGGCCGGGTTAATTACTTGTGAAATATTAGAAATATTAGAAATATTTTAAATACTAGACAAATTCAGCATTCTTTGATAAATCTTCGATTCAGAAGTATTCACAAGCTAATTACAATACATTCCTTCATATTCGATTTAAGTATTTTGGTTAATATTTACAATTGCACACAACGAGACAAAGATTAATAAAATTAACATTGTTTACTCGTAGAACGAAATTCTTAATTATTGGTTTTTTCAAGTGTATAAAATATTTAAACATTAAACTTCTGTTACGCTACAGTTTAATCGTATGTCACTTTTTGTGATAAATTATAATGAGAGGCATAATAATATTTAATGATACACGTAGGAATTTATTTCGAAAAGGAATAACAACAATAATTATTTGCGAGTTTCAATTTCATTTAACAAATTGATACGAGTATTATATTGATTTTATATTCATTACGAATCGTAACGGATATTATTAAATCAATTTAATTAATTTATATATTACAGTAATATTAAATATTTATTTAAGGGATATTACTTAAAAAATACAATGATATGAGAAGTTCGCTATTTTCACGTGTGTAATGCGAGAGCAGCGTAACATTTATACTATTAAAACGTAACCTGATCAATTCCATTGTAATTGGTGCGGCTATCCAATTTCGTTTGTTATCATTTTTCGTTCGAAATATTTTCTTTATTTCATTTATTCGATGAACTTTAATTAAAATCCATTCAATATCAATTCCATTATTCTCTTTTGTTATCCTTCACAAGTATATATATGTTTTATTACTTTGAAAAGATGGAAAATAATCTGAACTATAAAAAATTAAGCAACTGGTTGAAAGTAAATAGAAATTACTCATTTTATCTTAATAAAAGTATAAAAAATAATAAAATAATACATTAGATAGATAGTAAACATTCTTATTAGATCTGTTTTCATAAAATTTTTAATAAAAGTGAGCTTTTCGTCATTACCCACTTTTATAAACGATTGTTTTAATACGCCAGTTCTTATAAATACCGACAGTTTGGTAATTAGCAATTTAATAGTATAATGAAAATATTTTTTAAAGATAAAGAAAACATATTTTATTAGAATAAGTATTATGCATCCTTTTTATAAATATAGCGCGCTCTTTATTTCATGGAATTTCCTATATAATATATTTCTGTACAATGTAACGGGAGCAACGAGTTTCACGTTACTCTTTCCCGCTTGATTTATTTAGAATCATAATAAGCTGCAACACAACCCTGCCATATCGTTAAAACGAATACCTCTGAATGTTATAAACGAATCTGCATATTATTCTACGTGTATCTAACGGATTTAACCGCTCCTAATGATAAGACCTCGTTAAATATACTTTAAAAAATATATATTTTTCACAACCATTATGAAACAGTGAATACGCTTTTACAATTGTTTTATTGGGTAATTAGTCGTACATTTTTCACTGGCGGAAATAAAAGCCAAAGCAATTAGGAAATTAGAAGAAATCCTTAAAGAATCCTACAATATGGCGATATGAATTTTTAAATAATCATTCAAGTTTGATAAAGTTTCAAATTTTAAAAATATATTCTGAAGATCGTAGGCGAATAATTAAAATTATAATAAAATTATAAAAATCAAAACGAAGTAAGATGAAGTGAGATTTGACAAAGACTGTATTTAAAATTTATTTGATATCCGTTATTAGTTCTTCGTTATAAAGTAAAGAAATGAAATGTTAAGTAACTTCTATATAAAATTATGTTTATAATTATATATTAAATGAATTAAATTAACTTATTTTCCATTTATTTTATAAATGAAATGGGAAATAAATTACATACACATAATATTTTATATTACATGTTTCCTCAGGAATATGCAGCAATTACAATGAGTGAATTGCTGGGATGGTATGGTTACAACAAGGTGGACAGTGACTGTACAAGAAGTTTAAACTTGGATCATTTTACATCATTACCTTATATGAAAAATAATCAAATACTTCAAATGAAACCGACCTTTATTTCAAACAAACAAAAGCCAAAGTCACCAATATCGTTTAATGCAACCAATTTGCCTTTCCATGGTTTAAATTTACCATTGACACATTCTGCAAACAATTTGACAACTATGGGTGGACAGATACTATCATCCCCATTATCACTGAAGAAAGGAACAGTTGATTTTACAACTAATGGTCCTTATAATTTCTCAAGTTCTACTTGCTCAGGTAAAATGAAAGGAAATAAAATGATTGATGAATTATATGTAAATAAAATATATGATTTAAGTGAATGTATATATTTCTTTATGTGTTATAGGTGATGCATTCTGTTCTTGGTGCGGTCAAACCACTGAAACATGTAAATCTGAAAAGACAAATTCTGTTCCTTGCAATACAATAAATACTTTGGGACATTTTTGCAGTGATGCTTGTTTCGCAGCTGGCAGACGAGCTGTATTTAAACGGGCAAAAACCTGCAATTGGTGTCGGCATATAAAAAATCCAATTAGTTATGTTGATTTCCAGGTATGTACAATAAATTTGAAACATTCAGTATCAGGAAAATGCAAACGAAATGAGGCAATTTTGAACATGTTTGGGTCATAAACAATCAACTAATTATGGTTTTTAGGATGGTGAAAGTCAACTTCAATTTTGTAGTGACAAGTGTTTAAATCAATACAAAATGAATATTTTTTGCCATGAAACAAGAACTCACTTAATGCTTCATGGTTTGAATACTGTTTCTTATCATGACACAGAGAAAGGCAATTTAATAACACCAGAACTTTGGTTTCGAAATTGTCAATCACCAGTGGCTAGTCCCACAGAGAATAAAGTTGCAGATGAACATATGACTTCTGACCTATCATCTTCTCATAAAGACAAAACAAAGGAAAAAGAACAGGATGAGACTGAGAAATCAATAGAGTCCACCAAAAAAATTACAAAAACAGGAGACTCATTTTGCATCCAATTATGTACCAAAGCTAATAACTGTAACGGAAACAGAAAAAATGTTCATACAGAAATTAATGAAAATGATATTAATGAACGAAATAAAAAACAAAACTTAATAAATGAAGACAACAAATTCTGTCATTTTCTAAATAATCAAACTCATTGCGCGGTAGATTGTTCACAACAAAATACCTTGAGTTGTAACAACTTTACAAAAAATTGTAACCTGATAAATGTCATAAATTATGATTCGCATAGTCATGAACACAACAACGTATTTTTTAGAAGGAATATACATGTAAAAGACATAAGAATTTTACAACAAGAAAAGAAAGACACTCTATCGGAAAATACTGTAGGTACATCACATCCATTTGCAAATACATCTGCATCTACAATAGAGCATGAAACTCCATTGTCATCTGAATGTTTTACAGACAAGTTTAATCAAGCAAAATACAGAAAACAAACTAACATTTCTTCAAGAACATCGCCGCTAATACAATCCGAACAAACTGAGTCCTCTGTTCGTGCATTACCTACTAGTCTTTTACCTCCTGTTACAGTACTCGTACCATATCCTATTCCAGTGCCCATACCTATACCAATTCCTGTTCCAATTCCAACTCCAATTCTTAATAAACTTATGGTCGATGAACAAAAGATACCTACAAACATTAAAGATACAAAATATAAAAATCCAAAATGTAATGAATCGATAGAAAATAAGTGTTCTATGCTTCAGGAATCACAATTATGTACAAATACAAATATATCTGTAACAGAAGAACCACAGCGTGCAACTTCGACAAAACTTTGTGTTTCATTGTCCTCTTCTAGTATTAACAATGAAAATAACAATATCCAATCATTCAAATGCAATGCAAAACCTCCAAGGAAGAGAAAACATTTAAATGAAAATATTAATTATGAACGTAAAGAACCAAGATTAAAAAAGAGAAATAAATTTATAACAGCTTAAAAAAGACAATAGAAATACATATTTTTTATGATCAACATAAAGAAACCCTTAATTCATCACAGTGATTTTAATAACTGATTAGTCTTAATAGTCTGTTTATTAGAAAAGCATTTTACAATTAACATATAATACTTTATAGCCCCTATAAAATTGTAATATAATATACACACAAATAAATAATATTTTGGAAATTCCATTAAATAAACAAAGCATTATCAGTGAATAGTGATAATATTTACTTTAATGTTTTGTTGTAATAAGACAAATAGATGCGTTTAAT